GCTTACTCCAGGGTTCGTTTTGATTTCATTCAATTGTACATAGTTCGTTTGAGCATACATACATACGTCAAATTAGTGCTCTGATTTAGTTATTCACGTGGACTACATTTTGTAGAAATGTACCGAATGTATTGTAGTTTGCTAATAAAAAAATAAGAATATTTTTTTCAAATTTGAACTCACCACTTTTATTTACAATTTCAACATCACAAATTAGTGGTATTTCAAAACGGATGAGGAGACTTTCGCCATGTTGAAACTCTATTCATAGGCAAAAGTTGTCCTGTCGTGTCAAAAGCACTGAACTGCTGCTAATTTTGTGCTTTTTTATATTCAAAGTGAAAACACAAACAGAAACTTAAATAGATTTTCTTTATACACCATATGAACTTTGCAAAGAACCAGCAAATCTGTTGTTTTGTCAATCGTATTTATTTTACAGCAAATAATAAAGCTACATAATCTTGATATCATACGACTCCCTTGGTTTACTTTGAAAATATGCAATCCGTACGATATTGCACTCTTGGTATATTTTCCTTCAAGATTAATCTCGGATTGATTAGAATGAAACGCGATACCTTACACTTGTGTGCTGAATGGAATTCAGTCTGATATTTTTTATTCACTAATAATAATAATATATTTGGGGCTAAAATAAAATATTCTATCCTATTTCAACCTGAAATATCATTTTAATGTAAGAAAATTACTCATCATTTTGCATTCGACATATGTAGCACAACAGCGCTCGAAGGTCGGAGGTCGCGGCCGGACCAATATAAAACGCCTTCAAATGAGTGTGATACTGTGCAACACACCGAAGTTGATATAGTTGCATTCTTAGGTTGGAACCTAACTGCAGTGTTTTGCTCTATCAAAATAAGACATGTCAACCTGTTATCTGCTGTATTTTAAGTTATTTCGCATATTTGATGCCCATTATTGCTCGGAACAAAACTTTAAGCCTCAACTGATGAAAAAGAAATAATTATTAGTATGAATGTGGTCAACGAATGAGGCTCACCCGAAAGGGAAACTGTTGAAACTTTTGTAGGTTTTGAGAGTGCCCGTTATAAGGCGAGGGTATTACTTCAGAGGAAATTCGAATTTCCGGTCAAAATTTTGAAAATTCCAAAATCGAAGATGGCATATGCGCCTAAAATGCTATCTCGGCTTCTGTCCGATCGATATTTGCGAAATTTGGTACCAAGGGTTATTTTTTGCCGGGAAACTAGATGTTTTAGTCAAATTTTCAAAATTCCAAAATGAGAGATGGTGGACGTTGCTTAAAGTACCAAATCGATGATGAGACTACCAGACCACGTATCTCAGTTTGCGACGTTGCAGACTTCCCGTCATAATTTTTTTTTTTTAGTGAAAATCTACGCAACAGCAATTTTTGAAAATATCCGTGATTTTTTTCTCTATGTGAAGATATCTTTGTGAAAATTTTGAGGAATGATACCGACTTCTTCTCTCTCGAAATAATAAAATGGGAACGGAAATTTTTGAACACCGCGAACTATTTTTTTGGTGAAACTTCCAGACCACGTATCTGGAAGTTTCACCACTAATACTGGCTTTTTCAACAGAAACTATCCTTGCAATCAAGATATGCATAAA